TTTTTCAAATTTTTATATAATTTCGATTTATTTGAGTACCACGTTGACATATTTTTAAAAAACTTTTTTTTTGAAAATATTAGGAAGCCATTAAATATTTGAGGGTCTTGAGGGTCCCCTTAAAATATTTTTTATTCAAAAAAATTTTAAACCTAGTGTTTTTTGATTTTGATAAAAAACATTTAGGGGGTGGGAGCAGGTTTTTATCAAAAAAGTTGTTATAAGGGCCACCCTAATATATATATATATATATATATATATATATATATATATATATATATATATATATATATATATATATATATATATATATAATATATATATATATATATATATATATATAATATATATATATATATATATAATATATATATATAAATATATATATTATATATATATATATATATATATATATATATATATATATATATATATATATATATATATATATATATATATATATAGGGTATAGTAATTTTGATAACAAAAAAAAGTTAAAAAATAAATTTTCCTTTATTTTTTAACTTTTTCCTTTATTTTTTAACGAGACACGAATTGATGTCTATTATTCATAAGAACAAAGTAAAAAAAAAATGTTTTTTGATTTTGATGATATCTTTAGGTTCCTCTATGGATTCTAAATTCTTGACTGGTCCTAATGTTTTTGATTGTTTTTTTCTAAATCATATCAATCTTAAAAAAACAGTAAAGCTTATGGTAAGCAGAAAAAGTGAGCAAATTATTATCAAAACACGTTTTAGTAAGTGTATGTATATATATATATATATAATATATATATATATATATATATATATATATATATATATATATATATATATATATATATATATATATATATATATATATATATAGTATATATATATATATATACATAAACATACCTTTTATTAAGTTGTATAGCTTGGTTAGGCTAAAAAGATCCTTTGCCTTTTCCAGCTGCCATATTAGATTTGGCGAATGAGCGAATTTGTCATAAAACTAAAAATAATAAATTCTAATAATATTATATCTTATAATTTATGAAGTTATAATTAACTACTGTATTTAAAACTTTTTTCTTTTTTTTTCATAAAATCTAAATGTAATTAAACATTTAGATTTTAATTTAACGATACAGTTTATCTATTAATTAAATCTAATCTATTATTTAAAAAATAGCACACTAACCATTAATGTAGTCCAGATCATAAGTGTACACTAACCATTAGTGTAGTCATATATATGAATATTATCTGGGTTAAAAAAATTATTTGGACTAAAATTTAAAGCTATAGGATAACCTATAGCTTTAAACTTGCAAACTGGAAAAAGTGTAAATTGGCATTAGTGCGCCAAAGAGGTTAGCAAACATTACGAATAGGCATAAGTGCAAAATTTGATTAAGTACAAAACAGTTACAAAAACAGGCAGAAGTGTGAACTGACATAAGCCCGTGTAATAAATTTGCAGTTTGGGATTATGCTAAATTTTGCAAATTTATTTGGCACACTTATGCCTGTTTGCATTTATGTTGTTTGCACTTTTGCGAGTTTTTGCAACTGCTTCACACTTATACCAGTTACTTATGGCAATTGGCACTTATGCGAATGTTTGAAAATCTGTTCAGCGTACTTATACCAATTTACACATATGCCAGTTTGCACTTATGCCAATGTTTAGAATTCTTTTTGTGCAGTTATGCCCATTTGCACTTATGCCATTTGGCATTGTGCCAGTTTTTGTAACTGCTTCGCACATGTGCTAGTTTGCGCTTGTGAAATTCACGGTTATTCAGTCATCCCATTATGGTAAAACGGCTAACGTAGAGCCATGCATGGGATTTGTATAATGGATTGTAAGATGGGAGTAATATCATTATAAAATTAAACAGAGTATTTATAGGAATGCACTTTTAATTTACTAACCTCTTCATCATAGCAATCACAAGTTTTTGACAGTTCTTACCACTAATATTTTAAACTCTTTGTTTCTAATAGAAAGAAATAATGGAAATCTGACAATTCCTAATTAAGTAGTAAAAATTATACATTGTAAAGAAAATTAAAAAAAAAAAGAAAAATCTGTCAAATCAGTATTTAGCAATTTACAACTGCAGAGATACTCCAGAGTTACTAGATGAAACATTGTCAAGTGTTGAGTCAAACTTATCAAATTCTATTATGCTGTTTATTTTAGTTACTACTTCTTCTTTACACTATTTTATATTAAGTTTTTTGCATCCTTGGGTTTTTATCTCATTTAAGAGAAGCAACACATAATATTGAAAGTCCAAACAAATTTACACTAATTAAATTTTACATTGTCTTAACTAAACTACAGGTAGGTACACCTTAAAAACACAAACACCTTAAAAACTACAAAGTCATAATTTATGTTCTTGTCAAGCACTGTATGAGCTTTAACGCATAAAATTATTTGTTTTGAAACTCCATATAAATACTCTCTACAAAAAAATACAAGTTTGACTATTTTCTTATTAATAAAATGTGAAAAAAGCAATTTAAAAATAAAAAATAAATTAATTTTAAACTAAAAAAACACGGTTTTTGGCATGGGTAAGCATCAATTTGAAAATAAGATTGCAATTCCTTTTTTTTTAGATAACTATATTGTTGCTACAAATAAAAAAAAAAAAAGTTTTCACAATATCCTTCTCAGATTGATAAAATAAGCTTTTTACTAGCAGTAGAGACGCTTGTAGTTTTTAAGGGGTACAAAGAGTAATACAAACATTGAGACACAAAGTCAAAATTTCTTTCCGGAATCAAAAAGTTACATTTCAAATCAACATAAAACATTTCCCCAATTGATGTTATCGCTTTCCACGTCACTTAAATTGTCTTTATATTTAGCATTTGTTTTGGTTGATGTGGCTAGTTTAATCATTATTGGCTTCATTCCATCAACTCGACAAGAAATTTTGCTGCATACTGATTTCTTTATCTCGTGGCAGACTGGGCACTCTTTAAAACCCTTTACTGCACAAATACCATTGCAAACACATTTTAATTTACATTTATAAAATTGTTCTTTTTCGTTATCTTTTTCTTTCTTTTTTTTCTCCTTTTGATCTTTTTTTTTCCTTTTTCTAATTTCAATCAACTCAACCTGTTCAATGATGTTTTGGGCTTCCATTGACCCATGTATGTTTGTGACACGTATATTTTTTGTTTTATTCATGTCTTTTGGCTTTACCTTGTTTACTGTAAGCAAACCTGGTATATCTTCTAGAATTAAACTTTTTTCATAACTTTCTTTCATAATCATCTGTGACTGCTCGAACATAAATTTCCAATAATTAGCTGATCCATAACGATGATTTGTTTTTGCTAATTTGGGAAATGAATGTGGAGTAATTGGTGTTAACAAAACATTTGCTGATGAACGTGTGCATATTTTCTTTGGTGTACTTAGAACAAGATTGCTAGAAGGCTCTTGTTCTTGATTTTGAACCATACAGTTTGCAGCCTGGTGAAATTTATCTTGCTGCATATTATTTACACTTAAACCTTCTTTAGATATGCCAACTCTCTTTGCAGCATTAATTATGGTATCCCTTGAAGCCCATTTATCCCACATTTCTCCTAGAATTGTCATGAAGCCTTCTCGGTTTATTGTTTGGAAAGTTGTAAAAAGTTCATCTCTTTTTTTGTCATATTGACGATGCATGTTTTGATTAGGACTTTGATCCAACAGTTGAGTAACCCCAGTTGTATCAGGACGACTTATAAACAAGTTAATTTTTTTTTCATGGAGGAAATGTAGAACATTGTAGTCAAATCTTGAACTGTGTCCATCTGCTAGCATTACAACAGGTCGTTGTATATTTTCTTCTGACAAATATATATCAAACTTTTTGTGTAGATCCAATAAAGAATGGTTATCCTGGCTTCCTTTTTCAGTAGATGATATAATTAAATTTTTTATATTTTTGACAGCTGTTTTTGGGGCCATATGACTTGTGATACCTTTACCAGCAAAAATAACTTGTGAAACAACAATTTCGCTCTGCTTCCCATCTCTGCCAAAACGACTGGCCAAGCCTATAATAAATTTGAAACTTGTGTTTATAATAAAGATATGTTAGAATTATATGGAATAGTGTTAAAAAACAAATAACTAGTGTACTAGTGTAAAGAAACTTTCATTATAATTTATTAAGTAACTAAACACTCTACTTACTTTCCTGTCTTAACAACATGTTTTGCATTATCAGATAGTTTACCAAAATTGCGACCGCCTTGATTCGTGGTGTTGCAATAGTCTCTAATTTTTAAAACATCAATAATTAGACTTGTGACTTGCTTCCTCGATATTCCTTGATGGCACCTGTTTTTATTTTTAATGAATTCTACAATCGAGTGTTCTTCTTCAGCTGTCAAAATTCGTAGATGTTGCTTTTTTATATTAGCAGTTTTTCCATCTAATCTCCGATCAATGGTTCCTCGATCTTTGATAAAAGAAAACATACCAGTTTGCAAAGCAGCATAGCCTCTTTTTTTGTGCTCTATGCACCAAGACACAGCTTGTTGAATCTGAAGTTCTTTCATATTTATTTTTTTCCTCTGGACTTTTGCCTCTGCCTTTGAATTTGGTTTTCCAACAACAAAAGGTTCTTTTCTCACTTTAAAATAAATTTTGGTTTCCCCATTGCAAAATTACTTATTATATTTTTATCTATAAAATACATATGGTATAAAACAATTGTGTGCATAAATAAACTTAAGTAATATTCCTATTAAATAAAAATATAATATCTGAGTGAAAAATATAATATGTTAAACTATCTACAAATTTTAATTAACAGTAATCCCCTAATTACAGTATATTAGTATTTAGTTGTAATTTGTAAGGATTTATTTTGTAATTTTAAGGAGTTTTGGGGTTGTTTATGTCTTTTCGTTTATAATAGATTTAGAATAATGTGTGTACCAATACTATGGCCCAAAAACAAAATGTTTACAAAATTTTGAGGGAACCTGATCAACGGCTCTAAAATTATAAGCAAAAAACCTGATTGCGGTTTTTAAGGGGTAACAATCAAAAAAGGCGACTTTTCTTTTAATCACAAAACTTTACTAAAAACTATAGATTAAAAAATAAGGCCAGGGAAGACATTCATTTAAAGTAGTTTTTAAGTATAGAAAGTTTCAGCACTTCAGAAGTTTCCAATATTCAGTTATAGGGTACCACTTTTTTTTGTAGTTTTTAAGGTGTACCTACCTGTATGTAAATAAATTTAAAATATATAAATTTAACAATTTAACAACTTTACTGGTCTAACCCTAAATCAGAGAAAAACTAATAGCCAGTAAAATACCTAATAGTGGCAATGCTATATTATATATATTAGCATTTTTCTCAGATTTTGTATTAGACAAGAAAGATTGTTCCATAGATTTATAGTTTTGATAATATTGAAATAATAGATTTCATGAAGGTGATTATTTAAAGTTAAAATTGGAACATCATCATTTTAATGATGTTTTTTAATATTGACAGTCATGTTAACATTTTACAACAAACATTAAAATATTATTTTTAACTAAAGACTTACTTGCTTGAGATAATGGAAATCCATAATGTTTATCCTTTTTATTCAAAGATGATGAAGATTGATGTGTCTTAAAATGAATCTCTTGGTCATCTTTGTTTATTATTTTTTGATATACACAACACAAACATAGAAAATATTTGAATTTCATCTAACAACTTGTCTTCTTATGTAGCAATTTTACAATTAAAATATTTTTACAAATTACTTTACAGATTATTAACTTTATAAGTAAAATAGGGTATATAGTATGGTATATAATATTATAGGTTTCATACTGCTAAACATTTGGTAATTACACCAGAATATCATTAAAGAATAAAAATTTTAAAATGACATTTTGAAGTAAGTCACTCCCATTCTTGAAACAAATCATCATATTTTTTCCTTTCAGCCTTTTTTAACTATAGTAATTCCCTTATAAAAACCACTGATATTATTATTTTTAATTTTTAGAGTTAAAGAAGAAAAATTCTGAGAATGTTGTTCCCTTTTCTCAAATCCAAATAGATTTTTTTGCGTTAAAAGCAGTTGATAATTAAGTAAAATTAAAAACTTAATCTAGTTTTTTTAAGCATTCAAGTTTACTCAACAATTAAGTTATTTATTAGAGTAAAATAATCTAGCTAACCACACCATTAAAACTTTATTAATCATATCTATTTGATTCAAGTAGAAATACAAACACAACCAAGTTTCAAAGAAGGCATACAACTTTAAACTAAAAATACTCCAATATATTTTCAAATTTAATTCTACAAAAAAACAATGCAAACACTTGGTTGATTTAAATATATACTAATTTATATAATTTTTACTTAAATAAGTCAATTCGCCTAATCGAAGGTCACGCCATTATTTGCGTAAACATACTCTTTTAAAAAAAGTTTTTTTATCACGTTAAAAAAACGTTCATAAGCTAACTGAGAAATTTCGTAAGTTAATAATAAAAATTAAACGTTTAAAAAACGCTAATAAAACGTTTAAATTAACATTAAAAAAAAACGTTTGCAAAAAAACGTTTTAAAAACGATTGTATTGGTTCTTTTAACGTCCGACCGTAAATTGAACGGAATTAAAACGTTTTAAAAACGTCCTGTGCTTACTGGGTACGATTAAAAAAAGCTTTTTTATCACGTTAAAAAAACGTTTTAAAAACGTTTATAAGCTAACTGAGAAATTTCGTAAGTTAATAAAAAAAATAAAACGTTTAAAAAACGCTAAAAAAACGTTTAAATTAACATTAAAATAAACGTTTGCAAAAAAACGTTTTAATAACGATTGTATTGGTTCTTTTAACGTCCGACCGTAAATTGAACGGAATTAAAACGTTTTAAAAACGTCCTGTGCTTACTGGGTAATAACAATAAGGATGTTTTTTAAAACAAAATTGATGAACTTCTTTGCAGAGCACGTTGCAGTAAAGATTGTTTGTAACAATAAGAATATTTTTTTAAACAAAACTTTTTTTTAAACAAAAATGAATATTTTTATAGAAAAAACCCAGACGAATAAATTAAAAAAAAAAAGATACGTTAACCGAACTAAAAGCATTTACTTTGTCATGCGAATTGTTATTATTTTATGGCATTTTTAGAGTGATAATTTACCACTTTCAATAATGTTTAACCCATGACGTATATTCTAATCGTAATTTATACCTTAATAGTATGACAAGAAACATATTTTTAAGAAAGAGCTTTTTTTAGGTCATCAATCAATATCAAATAAAATAGTCATTTCACAAGGAAGTTTATTATATTCCTAAATAATTTAACTGTGCATTTTAGCAAAATGTTTCACGTCAAATTATTTATCTTTATCCCTTAAACCTATCAATTGTAAAATTTGTAGTTGCTACTTGATTCTACGCAGATAAATAGTAACAAAAGTATTCTGATGTTATCGAAGAAAAAAGAAGAGAATTTATTAATTTGTGTCAGGCTTTTTTTTGTGTGTTAATGGAGGCTGCTTTATTTCTGGTTACATCTCTCTCACAACTCTTTAACTACGAAACACAAACCATGACGAACAAGACCGCTACGCGGAGAAACAAGTTGAGCGCCGTAGTACCAGGGACGTGGTGGTGATCGAACTAAGAAATTCTTGATTAAGAGGCGAGAGCTCTACCACTACACCACTACTGTACTACCGTTGAATAACAACCTAGACGCGTATTATTCAATGATTTTAGCGGTTTTATGCATGTATAGCACAATATAAATAAAATATGACCTAAACTTAGTTTACTATTTCTTACTATGTGAATGTTTTAAATAAAAACGACATTAACCCTTTAAGGGCCGAATTATGAAATTGACTTTAAAAAATTATTTAATAATATTTTCACAACAGTTATGGGTCAAATTATTAGAAAATATAAAGTTTTTTTTTTGCTGACGTCAGCAAGTTCCTAAAAACAATTGGCCTTCCATAGTAAAATAGATTAAAAAAAATTTTTTTTTCAATATATTACTTTTTCATAATTGTATATAGAATACCATAATGATGAAAAACCTTCATTATGTCATTAACATAATTAGAGAACACCTCTAAGATTAAGCTATTAACATGATAGGTTTGACTATGCAGAGGCAGTACCGATATAGTTTTTAAGCAAAAAAAGTAAAATTTAGTGAAATTATAGTAACCAAATTAAAACATATTGCATATACATATTAGAAAAACACAAAAATAGCAAAAATATTCCTGGCATAGATTATTTCTAATAAATAATAGGTAATGTAATTTTACCACTCTAAATACACGAAAAAGTTATTTTTTGTGAAACCCATAGAAACAATTTTTGTTCTGAGTCAGGCAAAGAGCTATTTTGCATTTTGTACAATATACCCGACTAAATCCAGTCTTGCAGAATCGACATCTGTTTTTTGATTCTTTACACTTTGGCCAATGATCTATGCTATCATAACAAACGTCCACACAAGGGTTTGGTACTAAAGGTTTACAACCACGTTTACTTGTACTTTCATCAGCATCAATCGATCTCTTTGATGATCTGCCAACTGACCTTGAAGGTAATTCTTTTCCAGCAGATATAAGAGCTTCAGCAACACTGGAAATAAATTTTAACAGTGAATACTGACTTTTTTGGGGTAAATTTAATTGGCTAGCATAACCACGATAAAGAAGCCATCCATTAACTTTACTAATATCTACACAATGAAATATCACCTTCAAATACCACCTCTTTGTTTTTATTGGGGTGCGATAAAGGGATATTAGCATGTCAGCTAAGTCAACTCCTCCCATAGACTTGTTATACTCCTTTACAATTTCAGGACAGGAAACACTGACATTTGAACACATTTGTTGTCAAACCATCTCACCAAAACCAACCCTGAATTGACATCTGTGAAATAGCAACTGCTGCCACGCCCTTTTTTTTTAGTTCTTTCTCTGTTGAGAGTGGACATTTTTTTATTCTGTTTGATCTAATTGTTGCTGTGGTTAAAATTCCATCAATTTTTAGCTTCAAACACAGATCCAAAGATGTAAACCAATTGTCAAAAAACAGTTTATGATTAACACTTTTTGGAAGCGTTTCGCAAAGCTTTCTTACAAGTCGAGGAATGTTTTCGAATAAAAACCAGTTTTTATAGCATTAAAAAAATTGACATTCCAAAAATTAAAAATTAATTATTAAGAAGTGAAAAAATATTAAGCTATTATAATAGTCATTGCTTCAGGAATAGTTATGGAGAAAGAATTAAAAAAGAATGTAAGAAAGCGCTTTTTTTCATTAGCAAAGGACATTACAAAAAGCATAAAAAGTATTTAAAAGTTAAAAAGTCTAAGGGACTTAAAAAAAATATAAAAAAAGCAACAGAAAATTTTAATAAACTTTATTAAATAAAGTATTTTAAATAGTAATTTAGAATAAATATTATACCAGATAAATATAAATGTAGTTATAAATATGTAATTAAATTATTTTATGACACAGAAATTAATGAAATATTATTTCTTTCAAAATGAGTGGTTGTTTTTAATTTTTGGTAAATATGTATGTAAAAGTATAGTTAAAAAAAATACTATATATTTAAAATCTAAAATTATAAATCAGTTGTATATAATAAAATAATTTAATCACACAATATTATAACTGGTAAGTCTATTTTCTAAATTGAATCAATAATGCACAAAAATTACTTTTTCCAATTTCTTTAGCATGTTTTTTAAAAACAGTCCTTTCTAGATTTTTTAGTTTTTTCTAGGAGAGTGTACTGTGAATTTTCAATATTTTTTTACAAAATTTAAAATCTGTTGATAAATTAAAATTAAGTTTAAGACTACATCAGTGCCTTAACATTTGAGCAGGAGGGGGGGACAAGTACTTTGAGGCTTTTTTGATCTCAGGACTCTGCCATCCCAAATTTTTGCAAGGCCTTCTCAGTTGCCATAGGTAAAAACTTTTTTTTAAGTTTAGACTTTGCACAATGTGTGAAAGTGTCCTATCCGAAACATTAAAAAAAAAGGCGGCGCCCATGTATCTATATATCTATATATATATATATATATATATATATATATATATATATATATATATATATATATATATATATATATATATATATATATATATATTAATTTAATTCACCTCCTTAAGGCCAAGAAGGCCACTACAGACGAGGAGGCTACTTATTTGTGGTTATAACCCTCTCTCAACTCTATAACTCCGAAACACGAACCTTGATGAACAAGGCCGCTGCGCGGAGAAACGAGTTAAGCGCGGTACTACCAGGAACGTGATGGGGATCGAACTCCGAACCACTTGTTTATGAAGCGAGCGCTCTACCACTACACCACTTCCAC